CATTTTGTCATTTGCAATAATAATATATAAGTTTCTTAGAATTACTTCAGTGACTGAAGCAGCTTAGAAGTTGATAAATCATGAACAATGTTACCTTTATATCATCTCAAAACATAGGAGAGAAAATTTAAAGTTGTGTTTAGATGTTCCTGTTTTAAGTAGTATTTTCCCTCTTATGATACAATTTTTGCCATGAGCTTGATTTATCATATTTCCTCAGTAATGAGTTGTTGATGAGGTCAAAGGTAGGAAACACCCAGGATTTATTGGCCATATCAGGCTATTGTGGAGATGTTCCTTCCAATTATTGGTTTTTGCTATACGTAGCCATTTGCTTTCAGCTGCAGCAGAGACCTGATCCATTTATCTACTTATTTGCATTTCATGTATTTAGACTTCCCATTTCCATCAAGAAGGGGCTCTAAGTGGTCTCCTTTCCTGAGGCATCTGTTCACATAATGCCTGATTTCAAAGTGTGAATCAATGTCAGCCCTGCCACAACTTAAACCTCTGAATAGAAACAATCCTTGGTTCATTGGTTAAGAAAGGTATAATTTTATTAGAAGTCAAGTGTATTGCAGTAATGCTAAGTCAGAACCGAGAATCGCATGCCAAAACCCCTCTTCCCTCTCCTAGCTGTCTCTCATTGCCCCCCCCCCAACCAATCAGGCTAGAGGTTTTCATAACAGTTGGTCAAGCATGGTAGTTTGGTATGTGTCTCCCTCCTTCTTCCAGCTGAGTGACCCTGAGGCAGTGTCTTAAGGAGATACAGCACTTACTTTAGTTTCCCTAAGCATTCCCTCCTTCATTCCTCCCTCCCCACAGTTCACAGCAGCAAAGAACAAGCAAGCATAAGGGAGCAGTTGATAATCAGCATTATATGGGATTCTACGTATTCAGGCTTTGTGTTTTTTTGGAGAAGTGCTAGATCTGTGTTCAGAAAACAGACTTTATTAGAAAGAACTAATCTTGTACAAAAGATCTAGGAAAATAGTTTTCTTGCTAGTTGTTCTCAAAATGCATGAGTCATGGGCTTTCCACTGCTTTTACTGTGAAAGAGTTTCACAAAGCTATACATTTTTTCTTTTTATTTCTTGTGTGATACCATTTTGCCTATTCATAACCATCTTGGTATACTTTAGTAGATATTTCTGGGTTCTGACAATGACAACAACCACTACAATACTTACTGGTTTGAGATAAATCAGATGCTAAATTTATTATCTTCATATTTCTGGAATCTTAATTAATTCCATATCATTGTCTGTCATGTCTGTTGCCCATTCTAATTTATTTTGCCCAGGGTGCGTAGGAGCCCAAATTAAAGGAGCTGGGGAAAAATTGACAAGGGATTTGCTTTTCCATTCAGAGGGCTGGCCTAGAAGACCTCCAAGACCCCCTTCCAATCCTATGATTCTATGATTAGTCCAAATGTGAGGTTGGGGGAATGGAGATTCTCTGCTCATGTGACCTGTCAGTTAAACAAGCGTATTTTTTGATATGGATCAGGTACTTTCTTGAAGGAAAAATAACACATCTCAGGCCTCAGATACACCAAGCCTACATCACTTGGGTAAAAAGAAAGAGGGTGGTAGTTGTTCTTTCTCAATATTATGAGCTGTTTAATGAGAAGATGAAATTAAGTTTAAGGTATAACCAGTTGCTTTCCTAATTGGTCCTGTGTTAAAAACATTGAAACTCTGAAAAACTTTATGTGTTCATTAACCAGCACCAAGGAAATCAATCTGTGTTAGAACCATAAAGACAGTACAATTTGGAATTGTTAATGAGGTTGAATAAGATTTGCCCATTAGTGAAAGTACAATTCACACTTTCATGTTTTTCTCTTGAAAAGAACTGGAATAACACATTTAATCTAATCACAGCAATGAGGTCAGTCTTACTGCAGATATTAGTAATGAGGTGGGATAGGAACATTAAAAAAAAACATATCTCTTTCAAATATTTTAAAACAGGGGTGCCAAACTCAAGGCCTGTGGGCTGCATCTGGCCCGCAACATGGTTGGATTCGGCCTGTGCAGCAGTCCTGGAAATTGTAAGGGCTGGCCCATGTTGCTTTGGCCCAGTCCAAGCTATCCTAGCATGTGTGCATGTGTGCAGGAGGCAGTAGGCACATGCTCACACAGGCCCAGCCCACCCCATCCTGGTGTGCATGCGTACGGACGGGAGGCAGTGTGCCAGCATTGCCTCATCCATTGCTTGCCCCTCAGCCACCATTGCCGCTGCCTCCTCCTCTTCCTCATGGATCAGGGGGACGCAGCTGCTGCTGCTGCCACTGCTGCCACTGTCAGCAGCCCTTTCCCCTCCAGGAGGAGAAGGCAGACTCATGGTCCCCCCCTCTTCATTGCCCCCATCATGCCAACCATCCACCTGGATGGCTGGGCCCCCCTCTCTGACTGCTATCCCATGATTCTCGCTTTCACCTGCCTGTTCTGCACCTGGCAGTGGTGGCAGCCTCCTGCTCAGGGAGAGGGAGAGGTGGGGGATGCTGTGGCCACTGGGTAGCCCCAAGGCTGCTTCTGGCTGTGGCGCCGGAGGAGCAGCAGCTAAGAGAGGAGAAAGCAGCACTGGGGGGGATCCTTCTTGGTGAGCCCCACAAGGCAGAGGAAGCCCCCTTCCATCTTGGTTCTGTGGAGGGGGTGGGGCAAGGGCAAGGGGCACCTGCAGGTTCATGCGAGAAGCTGCCCTCCAACACCTGTGTTCCCCTCCCCCTGCCCCTGCCATCCATAGAGTGCTTCAGGGCTGCTTTCGCTTTCCCAAAGGGTGAGGTGGGTGGAACCCCACCCGGAGGAGGTGGATTGAGTGGAGACCGTCTGGCATGGCAGCAGATGCAGCACTACCAGCTGCTCTCAGAGCTGCGGGGGCTGGTGAAGGAGCTGCACAGGTAGGTGGTAGAGGGCTTCGCACAGGGCAGCAGGACTGGCTGATGGGTGCTTCGCTCAGTTCGCCCTGGGCTCCAGCTCCCTCCAACAGCCGGGTTTTTCCCACATGTCCGTGTGAGGTGGGGGAGGACAAGAGGGAGCCATCTGGAAGCCCCAAGGGGGGGGGCTGGCTTGTGGGGCACAGCAAGTTCATGCCCATTTGGAAATCAGCTGTTCGCATTCAGGCCTCTGAAATGGAGGAGGCAAATTTACGGAAGAGCAGTTTCTGGAATTCCTAATGTGATATTTTCCAGAAAAGTGTTTTTTTAAAAAACCTCTTTGCCCCCCTTGTTTTCCCCATCTTCCTTTCCCCCTTGCCTCCCCTCGCCTCCCCATCCCCTTTTTACTCTCTCTTTCTCCCATCCCCCTCCCTGCCCACTCTCTTGATCCTGACCCTCTCACCCTCCCCTTCATCCTGTCTCTCACCCTCTCACCCTCGCCCCCACCTTAAATCTAACCGAGACTGTCACTCACCCTCTAAGAGGGGGTTGTAAAATGTGGGAAGCTTCCCCAGAGTCCAGGAGCCCCACTGAAGGGCAGCTTATCTCTAGGAAGGCATCTTCTCTTTGATAACAGATAACTGACAGTAACCGACCCTTTAGCCTGCAGGGATGAAGGCCTCCCTTCTCCTCCTATCAGAGGGCACCTGCTCCTCCACCTTTGTGACCTACACCTGTGCCACACAAAGGTCTCTAGGAAGCTACCAAACCAATCACTAAAGCTTAAAAAATTGTCATTTTTTGCAAGGTAGCCATAGCACTTTGGATGTGGATTGCCTCTTGCTATAGATCAGGGGTGTCAGACTCAAAGCTCCGGGCCATGTCCAGTCAGCTGCGGCCATCCCAGCCATGCTCCTCCCCCCTCCAGCCCCTGGAGGACCACCACAATGCTGATCGTGCCCTCAATGAAATCAAGTTTGACACCCCTTTTAAAATATAAGTAGGTACTTAAAGTTTTTAAAATATGTAACTTCAGTGTCTTGATAACTAAAACTGAGAAAGAAACTATTTCATTTATAAACTAGAAAAACACAAATCAAAAATACAATTCAATCACAGTCTTCATAACTATATCATTTCACAAAAATATTAACATAAGATACAACCTCATCCTCCAGATTTCATTCTCTGTTTTCTCTATTTTCAGACCAATATATTTGCACAAGTACCGCATTTTTTGGAGTATAAAACACATCTTTTATGCGTCTTATAGGGTGAAAAAAGGGTGAAAATCTGGGTGCATCTTATACTTCGAATGTAGCCCTGCCCAGCTTCTCAAATGGAGGTTTCAGAGCCTGAAAAAAGCATCAGAAACAAAGCTTCAGAAAAGAAACCCCCAAACAGAGCTTCAGAGGCTTTTTTTCTGAAGCTGCTTCGGAGGCTTTCAGAGGCAGGAAAAAGTTTTTTCTGAAACAGAGTTTCAGAAGTTTCAGAGGCAGAAAAAAAAAAAGCAAAAAAAAAAAGCATGGCACAGAACTCACAACCAAGGAACTTGTTGCTAAAATTCACCTCTGGGAAGAGTTGATGGGGTATTCCGGGAGGCCGATCCACCTGCCAATCAGCTTTTTTTATTTCCCTCCTCAAAATCTAAGGTGCGTTTTATAGTCCGGTGCATCTTATATTCTGAAAAATACAGTAATAATTTCTGTGAAATATGTTAATTAAAGCAATCGTACTTTCATGAATTCAGGTAATTCAGTTTGCTTTAAACAGTGCTACTGAGCAATAAAAGGCATGAATTCATACCTCACCCCTAGTATGCAAATGTAAAATTAAAGCAACAAAGATAATAATGTAACAATGACTCAGATCTTTTGTAATCAAGTACCATAGCAAGTTTAGTGGCATGAAGGAGAGCAAAAAAGGAAGGGGGATGGTTTCTGATATAAGATGGAAAAATACTGCATTTGTTTCAGTTTGTTTTATTTTTATGCTCTTTTAAAATAGACCACTTTATTTCTGTGTGTATTTATATGAATATAAAAAATTCTGAATATGATATATTACTTTTGATTTATTAAATTAATTATTAATTAACTATCAATTTGCTTCTAACTAGGTGGACATGCATGGGAACATATTGTTAACATCCCTTGAAATTCACAATGAAGTTGCAAGCAATGAAGTCACAAGAAGTGTCACTGATCCACAGAATTCAGCAGTATCCTTTGATAACTCAGGAATCCAGTACAGAAAGCAGAGTTCCCGCCGAGAAACTCTTGGGAGACGTACATTAGACAGAACTGGCACTCACACTAAGAAGAGTCATTTGCGGAGAAGATCTTCTCAACTAAAAATAAAAATTCCTGATCTAACAGATGTGAATGCAATTGACAGATGGTCAAGGATAGTGTTTCCTTTCACATTTTCTCTTTTCAACTTAATCTACTGGCTATACTATGTCAACTAAATTGACTTTTACTTCGTGTTTTTTTTTTAAACAAAAAGACTGTAACAAGCAAATACTATTTTGCCTGTTATTTTGTATATGTACAGAAGACCTTTTACACTATATAAAATATATACATACTTACATATACATATATATATATATATAAATCCTATGTGTACATATATTGTGAAAGAATATGTATTATACTCATTGTGCATAAACATGCATACACACACTATGTAATGTTGTACACAAAATGCCTTTTAAAATAAACTTTTCAAATGAGAGAGGCAGCTTTTTGAAGCAGTATGCTTTGAGAAATATAGTTCTGTAAGATTACCAAATCTTTATTTAAATCATCAAAATTCTGTCCTATTGTTTGCAAAACCTTATTTTAATTACTGTCATTTACACTGTCCGTTATGTAAGACAGGTTTTAGTTTCATTTGTTTAATACTGACCAATTGAATTGTTTCATATCAACTTGAAAGGCTCAGAGACACTTTTACTGTGTTAATATATTTTGTTCACAATGGAATATTTTAATTTTGCATTTTCTTGATCACTTTTACTTGTCCTTGGAACATTCTTAGATATTGCTATAATATGTTATTTGAAATTGAACAACTGCTTACATTTTCAGGATTTTTTAAAAAATATGGGATTATTTAATAATCTATTCAAAATTAGGAGATACTATCTGTGGAGATTCTTTTTGATTAAACTGCAGTAAATCTATTGGACAGACTTCAGCCAATGAAGTCTCAATCAATTCAATCCAATCTCCATTTATGAAACTAAAATTGATGAAATCAAGGAGGGTTTGTTCATTACCTCTAGTTTTTATACAATATATGTACCTCAATAATGAAAATTGATCCAAATTATGAACATTCAGATTTAATGAGAATAACTTTCCTTCTGCATGATCTATCAAGTCAAGGTTTTATTGTATGGCCAGTTTAACTCTCATGTGCTTTATGTACTTGTTCAACATTTTCAAATTTCCAGGAGATAGCTAGATTACAGGAGATTTTGAAAGGCAGCTTTATGTACTTGTTCAACATTTTCAAATTTCCAGGAGATAGCTAGATTACAGGAGATTTTGAAAGGCAGCAGGTCTATGGATTAGAAAAAATATATGAGAATAGATGAAATTAGTTCTTTCTAAGCTTCTTGCTACTATGCAGCTTTAAAAAAAAAAATCCATGATGCTAACCAAGAGATGATCTGGTAATTCTAGCTCAAAGTTTTATAAAAAACAGTATTCCAAAGATAATTTAGAAAATAATTTTGTTTTTTAACAGACAGAAAAATACATTCATATTATCAAAATTATTTAAACAAGATCAATGTAAAATATATTTGCACAATATGCACATATATATATATATATATACGTTATTTAATTTTTAGTGCTTTCTATTGTGATAGCATGCTATATCATTTTGTTTCTGTGAAGTTATAAGATTTTTTTTCTTTAGAATTAAGTCAATAGAAGATTTCTAATGTATAGATTCAATAACAGAACATTTTCAGATCTATTTTGTATATACACTGGAACTGATAATATAGCTGATGTGCTACATTCACAAAACATAAATAATAAGGAACAAATGTATTTTTTTTAAGTGTGATGCATTACTATTTTACTTTGGCAAAACGTTACCATTTTTGTTTTTCTTCTTATTCATATTTTCATCAGTTCCAAACTTTTTCCTACTAACAGTTTCTGGAATTAGAGCACAAATGTTTCAGTGCTGTAAAATTAGCATACAGGTTTAGAGAAAACTGCAGAGAAATGTGAAGTTTTTGGTTACAGTCCATCAAACTCTGATTCCTGTGAATTTTACAACAGCAACTTGGACTGTGAAAATGGTGTGTAAGTTCATATGGAACTTTAATAGATTTATATGTGTGGATGAAAAGAACCAATTTTTATATTGCCTACTCTACAATTGGAATAGCATGTATCATGTTACGTAAATGTTTCTGCATGTCACTATCTCATAATATCTTCTAAGAAAGGGAGAAAATCCAACAACTAGTGAAGGTTGTGTATAGGATACACCATGTGTATAGGATATACCATTTCCCTCTTCTCAATACTTTAGAGATTTTGAAAATAGAGCTGCAGTGGGCATTGTCTTGCCATTCCAGTAGTGGGAAACTTAATTGGATATCACCCAAAGGTTATGTTGTGGCTGACTAAGTTATCCACTTTTGGTTTTCATTTTAAATCTTTTTGGTAAACAGTCATCTTTTTAGTAAAAAGCAACACTGAAGAAATAAATATTTTAAGAACTTGTCCAGTGATGTACTAGATTTTTTTTACTGCGTCAAAAAGAATAAATTTGGGTGTGATTCAAAATCATACCATTTTATTGTTTTCAGATGATATACTTTTGATTTTGACAGTAAGATAAAAGATGAGCTAGTATCTAGACTGGGGGGCAAAGATGGCTTTCTTGGATGAATACTTATAAATTAAAACTGTTTCAAAAAGATTGTTAATGTTCTTATTCATTTTGCTATATGCCAATACTGGCATTAAAACATCTTTCAAAATCTATTAGATTTTCTCAAACTAAGAATATTCAGTGAAGTGCTAGTATTTTAATTTAACAAACAAGTACTTGTACATTAAATACATAGATGATATAAAACTTTGATCATTCAAACTGCAGTCCAAATCAGCCTGCTGAAGAAACAGAACTGTAACCTATAGCACGTATATTGCTCTAAATGTTTAAAATGTAAAGTAAAATATGTAAAGTTTAAAATGTAATAAAATATTTGAGGATTCTAGAAAAGGCTCATGCCCCCACCTTTAACCCCTTCTCAAGAACTGGAAAGACAGGCTGAAACCTTTCAAATGGCCTCACCAGAGGTTGGCTGCTACTGGTTCACACTGATTCTCCCGAACCGGAGGTTAATTTTCTGAGCATTTCAGAGAACAGGTTGTTGGAAGAAATCTTTTCCCACTTTACAGGGCTAATCCTACAAGGGAGGCAGGAAGAAAACATTCTGGTATGCCTGTATTTCTAGCCTAATCCTTATCTTAATTGCCCTGCTGCTTTAAGTGTTTTCAGAAACTGCCTCTGGTTTAAGCTTGCTACATTGTAAACCTTACGCCCAGACTTTTTTTCTGTAGACTGAGCTTCTCTGGAGTCCCCCCTACACAGAGTTTTTTGTGGTACTTTTATTCCTGGGGCTTGACTTTCTTAAAGATTGTTAAAGGATTGTTTTAAGCTTTTTGGAGTATACTTCCCAACACTGCTGGAACAGCTAATTTACAGAAGGGTTGGCATAGCCATAGAAGAAATGGCTGAGAGGCAGGATACAAGCTTGGCATTCTGTCTGATTTTTTTACTGCCTTTCTGGGGGCATGTGATCTTTCCTTAAATCTGGATGATTACCTAAGGATATCTTGTGAGTGAGTGAGACCAGCAGGTATCTTTCAGTGGGCAAATGGATCTAATGATTGCTTTTCCTGGGTGGGAAACTGTGCTTTGTCAGTTCACTAGGCACAGGAGTCCTTGTCTATGGGGATTCTTCAGTTATCCAGGTCATGTTTGTCCCAAAGGTGCTTTTTTCAAGAGGCAACTGGACTTTCTTGGTTTCCCAAAAGTCCAGTTGCCTCTTGAAAAATGTACCTTTGAGACAGGAGTCTCTTGCATTGCTTTGGAGTGGGCAAGGCACATGATTGCTCACTGATAATAAGTGGATCCTCCTTCCAATTTGCTTGTTTTCTCTCATGATAATATGGCATAGTAACATGGCACCAATTGTAGAAAGTTAGCACCCACCCCTCGCCTAGAAGAATGAAATATTTTGAGAAATATTAAAAAGGAAGAATATATTTCCTGAATGAGAAATGGAAAAACATTTTCTTAGAGGGAGAAAGCAGCCTTCGCCTTCCTTAATAGCCCACAGAAGATGTCAGCACTTAAGAGATAAAAAGATAGATAGCTACATTCATAGGCAAAAATTCCCTGCAGCAAGAGCTGAACAAAGGCAGAATGGGATTAGCCCTCACTCAAGATGTTAATTTGTTAATCTGTCTCTTTAGCTTGGCATTTTGTAGCCTAAATATGCCCACCCACTTTCTGGAGAGCTTAAATAACCTCTTTGCTAAAGGGTTTCACTTTATGAGCAAGAGTAACTTGGCTGCTGATAGTTATCCTTATATTTTAACTATTTTAATTCTTCAATGTGCTCTGGCAACTTGCCTGATTTGTAACTCCGGGTTGCAGGTATTGCTGAGGAAAAGGAAGGTATTCAGACAAAATGGTTTAGGTTTCCATGATAGCTGTGACTCATTGATCTTCAGTGTGTATTCCCCCATTTCTAATCTAATGACTGGTATTTAGGGCAGCTTTTTGAAAGCAAAGAAGCTTTTTGTATTTTTGTACAGGTAATTCTTGATTTACAACAGTTCATTTAGTGACCATTCAAAGTTATAAGGGCACTGAAAAAAGTGACTTGTAACCGTTTTTCACACTTATGACTGTTGCAGCATCCCCACGGTTATGAGAGGGCGGGTGAGGCAAAGCTCGACATAACAGACATCGAGTTGGCCACGCCCACCCAGCCAGTCATTAGGGCAGAGAAGCTGTTGTTAAAAAATTTGCAGCCCACCACTGGGCCTCACCACATTGCCAGAACACCTCCTATGGCAATATTGGAAGACAGATACAGTTGGAGAGCTTGAGCATAAGCTCTCCCCTTCTGCCTTCCAAGATGGTTTTTCACCACCTTGGTCATCAGTTTCAATTGGGAAATTGAAATTGAGTTTATATATGAACTTAGCAGCTGTGTTGATCCTCAATAAAAGACCCTAAGAAAGGTAAGAAGCATGCATCAACACCAGAAAAATATTTTAGAACAAAAACTTCACTCTTCCATCAAAAATAATATTCATAAATATTAGCAAGAAGTACTAAAACAACTCAAGGACTTCATTGTAATTTCCTTCAGTTTAGACCTATCCTTCCATTGTTCTAATACATTTACCCAAATTTTAAAGTCTATTCTATTTTTAAGTTAGTCAAGGAATCAGCAAGACTTCTTTTATATGTATATGATATAATTTTGCATAGAAAAAGCAATACAAAGTTATGGATCTTATGACATATTTATTATATTATTTATTATATATTATATCATTGGATATAACATGGAACATAGTGAAGACAATCATCAACAAGTGAAGAAAATATGACACAACAGTGACATTAACAAGAATTGGATGTCCCTCCAAAATTGATGAAAAAACAACAAGAAAACTGGTCCAAAACGTCTACAGCAACATTAAAGGAGCTGCAGGAATTGCTGGCAAGTACTCTTCGTGTTCTACATGTGACAACAATCTCCTATATTCTTCATATACCTGGGGTGTAGCAAAGTGGCAAGTTGGAAGCCTTTTTTTACAAAGAAAAACTGCAACATTATGCAAACACCTATATCAAGTCTGACAAAAGCATGTGGAAAATGTGTTAATGAGACCAAGGTTGAATGTTCTGGCCATAATTCCAAAAGTATGCTTGGTGCACAAACAAAACTGCATATCACCAAAAGCATACCATATCCACAGTAAAGCATGGTGGCGGCAGTATTATACTTTGGAGCTAAATGATGATCCAACGTTTTGTCTCGAAATTATTATTGCTGGAATGGCTAATTCATTAGAGCTTGCTCATTTGTGTTCAACAGTAAAAATGGAATAGCTGGAAATGATATATCATTTACACTATACATTATATTCTTAAGATCTAAAATATATCTTAGTTGTACTATGTTGGAAGAATTTATGTCAAAGAATGCACTGGAATTGGAATACATTCTGGTTTCTACCTAAAAATCAGGTAGAACTGATTTTTAAGATAGGAAATATAATATTACTTCATATTTATACATCACTTGAGTGATGAAAGGGATGAAAAGAATTTCAAAAATTTGCTCAGGATTCTAGTATCTTGTAAAAAGGACAGTATTATGGATTGCATAGAACAGCTGTTGTGGGTATTGATCAGGTTACTTCCTGGGTGAAAAAAATGACATTTCAAAAAGTGCAAATAATATTTCTAAAATCCCTATATTGGAGGGATTTTTGGAAGGGTGTCTTTTACTTTTTATTTAGACAAGCAGAGATTCCATACAACATTTATGCTACCCAATTATAGTCACAAAATATCACTATATATTCCTGCACTATTTTAAAGTTTTTTTTCCTTCATTACATGAATAAAACCACTTAGCGGTAACACACCTAACATGATAACATCATGAACTCACAAGGCCAGTTAGATTTAATTCAGCTAGTCCTTATTTAGTGACTGTCTCATTTAGTGACCATTCAAAGTTATAAAAGTGATGAAAAATAACTTTGCAATCAATCATATTTATTTCCTTTGCAGATCTATAAAGCATTGTGGTCACTAAATGAAGACCCCTTGTAGTGCCAGATAAACAATGTTCCACTGCCTAAGATAGGAGAGAGGAGAATGCAATTTTGTTGCTCTTGACAACAAGCACTTGTTTTCAAGAACAAGAAAGTTCTTGACCATGTTCTGCTCTACCCTGGCACTGCAATTTTACAAGATAGCACTTCAGTACTAAATCATGTCTACTTGTACTTGTACATACGATATAAGGGGAATATTTATCAGTAATATTCAGTGGTTCAATAAAGTTCTCATGAAAAGGGCAGGAAAGAACTACAGTATCTACATTGCATATCTGTTATGGCCTGCCAGCAGCCTGCACGGCTCGTGGCTGATCCCGATGAAGAGAAGGCTGGTGTGGTGTCGTGCCAGCAGCCTGCACAGCCCGCGCTCGCGTCGGACAGCGAGGAGGCTGAAGAGGATGTGGTGCCAGAGGCAGAGACTCAGCCAGGGCCTTCAGAACCTCCAGAGGTTCCTTCAAGTGGAGAGAGCGAAGTGGAGGAGCCTCTCCTCAATGCTTGAGCACGCAGGGCTGCCAAAAGGCAGGAGTGGCTACTCAGGAGGAGGAGGTCTACTCGAGAGTAGGGCTTGAGGATAATTGGCCACTCCCTTAGCCTATTTAAATTGCACGCAGCTAGTGCTTTTTTGCTGGAAACAACTGGTATTTATAATCAGAGTATTTTGGTTTATCATATCTTTTCTTTCTGGGCTGATTGCCAACCTTTGCTGGTCTTGTTTATTCTTGCTACTTAATAAATTTGATAAGGACCGTTGGTGTGTGTCAATATCCTCGGAAATCTGGAGCTGGGGCAGAACAATCTCCAAGTCAACTGCCACATGACTTTACAAACCATGACAAATG